CATATCTGTAAAGTGCTTTTACAAACCCCCTTATAGCACTATCTAAATGCTTAGAGTAAAGGAGATGATGATGATGGTACTGATCTTTTCCCATGAATCATCTTCCTGGGTTCAGAGAAAAACAAAATTTAACGAGATGAAAGGACAAGCACAGGTTACAAAGGTGTTATGTGTATTGGCCGGACAACCCCATTTCTTATTTGCTCCAGCTAAATGAGATTTTAATATTGTTTCAACTGTGTCTTGAGTTACTTCCTCAAATTGCATTTGAAGGTTGAGTCACCAAGTGGTGACTGATTACACTCAAGGTTGTGCTGGTATGTAACCTTGTGGGGCCATCTTTGTATTCAGGTGACTGTCTCTCCAAATCTATCTCTCTTAAGTGTATTTGTTCCTGGCTTGGTGCACTGTCAGTTACTGGTCCAGCTACTCTGGGGATATGGTCAATGGAGTAAGGGGAATGGAAAGAGTAGTATAAAATTTCCTCTTTGGTCACACTTCACCTTCCTGACCTCTGGTACCAGTGCGATGGTCTACCTTTATAAAGCACTCCCAAACTTGAAATCTCCCATGCTAGACTGGTCACCTCCTCATTTCTTGTTTTTATATATAGGCCTAAGGGGTAGGATTGATCCTTTCAGCTAAAAGAATTTTACCCTGATAGAGTGATCAGAGCTTTTGAATCTTGTTTTCACATAACAACTTAATTGTGAATGACTATCATAGTTCTGAGGTTGTGGTAAAATTCCTTAATAACTACTACTATGTGATTACTTGATTGATTCTTTTAATCAAAGGGGTGTTCATATCTGACAAAGGTATTCAGGGCATTGGTGCATCTTGTTTATATATTGATACCTCATCTTGTCCTCATATTAATTGCATTAATTGAGGTGAGGGGTGGAACCTACCTCCTTAAAATATACTTAAATTAGATTTCCCCTTTTAGTTCCACATCCTGGGATCCTATGTCCCTCTTTCTATCTCCCCCCTCCCCAAGGAAGGTTTGTCATCATTTTCTGTAAAGCACCCCTTCATAGACTTGAATGAACTTCCAGAAGTTTCTTTTTCCCAGACTGCAGCAATTTCTATTCCTTAGAGGTTTTATTTGTCTACTCTGTATTTTTCTCTTTGGCTTTCTTCTTAAATTATCGAGTCCAGATCTGGGCACTGTTTAATCTGATTAGTGTTAAATACAATGAGAAAATTAAATTGAAGTTCCTACATAATATAAATTTTATGCATTCTGTCAACTTAAAAAAATTCATTGTTGACTCATATTCAACACATACCCAGGTGTGTGCTGGTAAATATTTAACAACTGGCTTGGGGGTTGGGGGGAGGAAATGTACACAGGACACACTTTTAAGTTTCATCTGCATCATTAACATTTTCCCCATCACTTTCTCGAACCTAGAGACAATCAACAAAATAAATCACAGCCTGATTTACAGTATTGGCTGATTTGAGGTATAAATGCTCATGCTGAAAATTTAGCAATCAGCTCCAGCACAAATGTGCTTATACTTAATATATGGGTCCTTTTTGTGACAGGGTTCCAATTAGCAGAGGGAGATTTGTGTGTTTAACCTGTCAAAAAGTAGTTTGTTTTTTATTTTCCTAAAGTGTCTGGGTCTAATGATATTTTGTGTAGATCAATTTTAACTTGATCTTTTGAGGTGCTGGCTTTTACTTTTCCCCCATAGCTCTTATTTTCCTGAAACTTAGGAAATAATGAGCCAAATTCTTTAAAAATTTTCAAGCTAGTGGTCATTATGGTGGGGGGGGGGGGTGATTTGAAAGACTGGGGAGAATTAGTGGAGCAAGAGAATTAGTGTGTCCTCCAGGAGCAACTGGGGACACAGTGCTGGACTTAACATCAGGAAAGCCTGAATTCTTGGACATTCAACACTTAACCTCTCTCAGTCTTATTTTCCCCATCTGCAAAATGCAAATAATAATAGCACCTCCCTCTCAGGGTGGTTGTGGGCTCTGAACTAAATAAATCTAACCACAAAATAAACAAGAAGTTAAGGAGGTGAATAGAATATTAGAAAAGTTAAGTATGGCAGACCTCTGGAGAAAATTGAATTGGGATAGAAAGGAGTATACTTTTTTCTTAGTGGTACATGGCACATACACAAAAATTGACCATGTACTAAGGCATAAAAACCTCAGAATCCAATGCAGAAAGGCAGAAATACTAAATGCATCCTCTTCAGATCATGATGCAGTAAAAATTATATGTAATAAAGGGCCATGGAAAGGTCGACTAAAAAATAATTGGAAACTAAATAATTTAATCCTAAAAAATGATTGGGTCAAACAACAAATCACAGAAACAATCAATAACTTCATTCAGGAGGATGACAATAATGAGACAATATACCAAAACTTATGGGATACAGCGAAAGCAGTTCTTAGGGGAAGTTTTATATCTCTAAATACTTACGTGAATAAAACAGAAAGAAGAGATAAATGAATTGGGCATGCAACTAAAAAAAACTAGAAAAGGAACAAATTAAAAATCCTCAATTAAACACCAAATTAGAAATACTGAAAACAAAAGAAGAGATTAATAAAATTGAAATTAAGAAAACTATTGAACTAATAAATAAAACTAAGAGCTGGTTTTATGAAAAAAAATAATAAAATACATAAACCTTTGGTTAACTTAATAAAAAAAAAAAAGAAAGAAGAAAACCAAATTACCAGTATCAGAAATGAAAAGGGTGAATCCACCACCAAGGAAGAAGAAATTAAAACAATGATTAGGAACTATTTTGCCCAACTGTATGCCAATAAATTTGACAATCTTAGTGAAATGGATGAATATTTACAAAAATATAAATTGCCCAGATTAACAGAAGAAGAAGTAAAATACCTAAATAACCCCATCTCAGAAAAAGAAATTGAACAAACCTGTCCAGGGCCAAATGGATTTACAAGCGAATTTTATCAAACATTTAAAGAACAATTAATTCCAATACTATACAGACTATTTGGGAAAATAGGCGAAGAAGAAGTCTTGCCAAATTCTTTTTATGATACCAATATGGTGCTGATATCTAAACTAGGAAGAGTCAAAACAGAGAAAGAAAATTATAAACCAATTTCCCTGGTGAATATAGATGCAAAAATTTTGAATAAAATATTAGCAAATAGATTACAACAACTTATCACAAGAATAATACACTATGATTAGATAGTATTTATACCAGGAATGCAGGTTTGGTTCAGTATTAGGAAAACTATCAGAGTGGTTGTGGGAATTAAATGAGATAACATATGTAAAGAGCTTTGTTAACCTTAAGGGGAGCTATTATATCGTATCTGATTTGAAACCAGCTATTTCTGTCAGCCAAGGGAATGTCAGAGGTGGTGTTGCTTATGAACAGGGGTGAAAGCAGGGGTGGAACTAGGAAGTAAGTGTGAGACTTAGCTGCACACCACTTAGTTCTGTAAAGTTCCTTCATGTCTAAGCAGGGGCCAGGACATAGGTCATATCAATGAAGCTGTCTTACGGGGGAGCCCAGCCACAGACTACCTACAGGACATTTTCTGAGACAGGATAAATGTTTCTCTAGGTCAAGTGTTCTTAGCTTTGTGTGTGTGTGTGTGTGTGTGTGTGTGTTTGTATGTGTGTCACAGACCACTTTGGCTATCTAGTGAATCCTCTATGGTCCCTTTCTTAGGACATAATATAAAATTCATATGATTACAAAAAAACCCAATCATATTGAAATATCATTTGTAATCTATTATCTACCTATCTATCAATCTATCTATCAATCTGTCTATCTATCTACTTATCTATCTGCTTACCTATTTATATTTTAAAGTTTATGAACCCAGGTAAGAACCCCTGCTCTAGAGAGGGAATTTACAGGTAAAGTGCAAGATATATATCATAAGATTGTCTTTACTCCAGTATTTTTCTGATGGGAATTTTTGTAAGGGAACAGTCAAACCCAGTGTACCTGTGCTGATGATGAGAATGTAAAAGAACTAGTAATATTCCATTTCTCTAGGCTGATTCTGATTTGCTTTGTCTGCACTGTTTCTCCCAGTCCTGTTACATAGAGCAACTGAACGGTCCCCATGGCACTGATGAGAGCCTTGCTGGTTCAGGGAGCTGGTGGAGGATGGGAGGAGAGGAGAGCAGCAGGATTGGCACACAGGAAGTCCTTGTGTAGGCACAATCATCATGCACGTCAGCTAGGATGAGCAGTAGGGTCGCTAGTGGGTCAGTAGGGTCCCTGCCAGAAGCAGGGTCCAAATCAAGAAGCATCGCAAAGTCCAAGGCAGCTAAAGGAGAGGCAAAGGCCAAGCTTTGGGCTTCAGTATGCAATATGGTATTGGGCTTGACAAAAAGCTCCCTCAGTTTATTCAGCTCTTATGTTCTGTGGACACACAAACATGCATGTACACACACGTTTTTATGCCCAACAACCTGTGGTCAGCTCCACACACCATTTACCATTAAATTCTCTTCATTGCTTTCACTGTTGCCTTTTTTTCCCCTCTGTTTTATGGTCTGTATTCTCCAATGCAACAACCATGACATTATGGTGGCAGGTGCAAGTGAAATTCCAGTAGACAAATAACCCAAAGTATTATTTTTAAGTAAGGAAAAACATAGAATGTTTTTATTTTCCCTCAAGAGTTATTATCTTTATGATATATCTTTGGGATGAGCAGGAAGCATGTAAAGATAGGAATGTCCTTTTGCCAAAGGACAAATAAGAATTATTTAAGGTCTTAGAAATTTATGTTTTTAAAAATGTTTCAGAAGTTTATTTCAAAGAACTTTCAACAACAGACACTTCAAAAGCATGCCTGGCTTTATTTTATGAGGAGTTTTGTTTTTAAAGTGAGGTAAAGTTGTTTGAAATTCCTTAGAACATTCTAGGGGAGAAGATGCATTTGTGTTCTTTGGGTGCCTGCAGTTCAGGATAAACATGTAAGACCATGCTTATTCATCTCTCCTTGCCTCGTAGACTTTAGACCGCATGAACCCCTTCCGTCCTTATGAGCGCTTTGATACCCTGAGACAATTCCTGGAGCACGACGGGCATGTTTTGCGTTTTTACTGCTTGTGGGATGACTCAGAATCAATGTTTGGTGACCCCAGAGAACTTGTTCTTCACTACTTTTTGTCTGACGATACCATTGAAGTCAAAGAAGTGATACCAGCCAACTCAGGCAGGGATGCTGTTCCATTGTTCCTTAATAGGAGAAAGCTACCCAAGGTAAAAATAAAAAATAAAAAAAATCAGACGAAATTGGAGTTTGCTTTTCTACCTTAAAGACTTGACTCATTATTTCAATTGTCATCTGTTATGAACATGATGACAGTTACCATGCATTAGCCAGAGTGTTGAAATCACTGTAATTGTCTGAACTTCATTCCACATTCATCTTTGGGTACAATACAGGTTACAAAGAATGTGAAAAATTGGAGTCTGAGAATACTGAGTTTAAAGGGCAGCAAGGGTAGAATTCAGGTTCAGGGAAATTTATAGACCTTTTTTTTTAAAAAAACATGCAGCTTTTTTTTTTTTTTTATCATAGGTTTATATAACAAAACAAGTAGAATTCAAAGGTATTTTCCCAAACCATAGTAATTTAAGGCCAATTTATGACTCAACAACATTTATCTGCACTTGACATTTACAATTCCTCTACAGGGATTACATGCCATCATCCATGTAGGCTCAGATTTAACCATTTTGGGGGGAATTGGCCTATTACTTACTGTCTAGTTACTAATCAGTGATTTTTAGTTGGCTTTTGAGGACAAAAGTGGTACTGAGCACTCAATTCAATCAAAGTGACCGAGCTAATTTGTGCATGAGAATAGAGGTCTAGAAGCTTTGTCACCATACTTCTAAAACCTGGGTAATTTTATTTCACAGTTGAGGTTTACTGTAATAACCACATATTTTAAGATCCATCAGAAACAAAAACTAGTCTCTTCTTCTAGAGGAACCTCTGAGCTGAGAGCCACTGGCCACATGGGTAACTTTCATTAGCTTGCAGTAGGAAGGGAGACTTTGCTTTTGACTGCAGACTCTTAGCCAACACGCAGCACATGTTTGTACCTGGGACATCAATACATATGCCAGTGCACCTTACTTTAAAAACTAATGGTGTCAGGGGAAATACATATACAGAGTATTCTATATGTACTTTTTATATAGGGATAAGGACTGGACTTACAATTTAATTGATATAGGGAACTCCCAGAGGAGGAAATTCTCTGTATTAAGGCTGATTAGTACTTTTCCTACAAGTTATAGTCTTAAAGAGTTGCTCAGAGCTTTGATAAATCAATGATTTGCCCAGGATTATACAACCAGTAGGTAGAACAGGTAGGTCTAGAACCTAGGTCTTCCAGGGTCCAAGGCCAGCTCTGTATCCATCATGCCATGTTTCTTTATGCTTTTTATATAATGATCTAAAAAGTATTTGTATCCCCAGTGCCTAGAGTAGGTGCTTAATAAATGCTTGTTGATTGTTTAATTGATTGATGATGTCATAGAAATAAAAAAATTAATACTGGCCAGCTCAGGAGTAGAGGGATGTGGACAATTTACATACATACATACACATATATATCTATTATATATATATATATAATACACATTTACATATATTTATTATTTTATATATTTAATTTCCTATTTTAATTATTATTTCATGTATATGCATATATGAAATTAAATATATGATATATAAAATAATATATTAAACATATTGGATAGATAGATGGACATACGTATGCATCTATGTCTGCCACCAAAGTCATCTTCCAGTGCTTCTCCTCTTTTCTAATATCTTATGCCCATGGGTCCTGTACGTCTGGCAGCTCTTATGTGTGATGAGTTCTGAGAAGAGAAGAATCCTAAAAGGCTAAGGAGATGAGGCTTGGGGAAGGTTTCATCAAAGATGGAAGATTTGCTGGGTTTGGAAGGGGATCTTTATTTATACTTTATTTAGAGAATAAAGGTGAGACAGGAAAGGGGGAACAGAGTGAGACCCAACCTAAGAGAAGGCATAGAAATGGAACCATTTTACAAAATGCCTACCTCCGCCTTGGTCAAAAAGAAAAAGCAATTCAAAGTACATTTTCTGCTTGTGGTAGCTGGGTTACTTACATTCACCATCTTTGTGTTCCAAGGCCAACACATCTTTAGTACCTCTTCTTACTCACTTACTTGCTTTTCCTTTTTGTTAGTTTGCTCCAACTGGAATATATCATCCTGGCCAAATCACAGATCGAACAATTCTCAATGTTTTTGGAGGATTGGTGGGAAATCGAGGCCGATGTCTATTGGATAATTGTAAGGTGAGAGAATTATAGAATTTACTTTTCTGTAAAACCGCAGAACTGATAAAATATATTGATGCTTTCTTATAATGCTTCTCTAGAACCTTTTATTGATCGATAGTTAAATATTAGCAGAAAATAGGATTTTGTCACTTTGTTACATTAGAGTATTAGAATCTTAGAGCTACATGAATTGTATTTGAAAGTATTTATCAATGTAAGGTTGTGGAGATATTTTTAAATGCCACTATTTAAAATGTTACACATTATTTTGGTTTTGAAATTAGATATATTGATTTATATGATTTATTTTTTTCTTTGGGAGCTATCATGTTATTTTGATGTTTCTGGCTGTACCTTACTTTGTTTTATTTATTTTTTAGACAGGAGCATTGAAACAGGAATTTTACAAAGCCGAAGATCTGAAAATAGGCGCAATAATTAATATTTGGGGGAGAAAAGTACTGCTTTGTGATTGTGATGAATTTACGAAGCAATATTATAAGACTAAATATGGAGTTGGTAAGTGACAGATACATAATGTATTTTTTCCAATGGTAGATATTATTTGAAAAATCCTTTTTCTAGAAAAGGTTTTCTTTTGTGAGTTTAAAATTCTGAATATGCAAGGTAAGGTATTATGTTGAGATAATTGAAACAGAAAGCTAAGTACAGTTCTTTTCACTGACTGTCTTGCATCTCATTGTGAATGTGATGATTGGGATTTAATATGTAGTTTACTTTCTTCTGTCTGTGCTAGTGACTGCAAACATGTCCTCTTATATGTTTCCATTAAAAAAAAATTCCAAACTTGTCTTAAAGGTGCACAATTAAAAAAAAATGTTTAATGATGTCTTCTGCCATTTCCAAGTTAAAATGTAGTAGTCAAATGAAATCATACCTTCTTTAGATTAAGCAATGGAAAATGTTGAGACTTAAGCTTTACCTGTAAAGAGCAAAGTGATATGGAGATGTGTGTCAGCTCCTTGATTAATTTGATCGACATAGATGCCAAGCACAACAGAAAACCTGGATTACAATCCTGGCTCTGCCATTTTGCTACTTATAAAAAAATCATAAGCAAATCACTTCACCCCTCTGGCTTCAGTTTGCTTGCATTTGTATGTTTAAATAAACAATTTCTGTGTAGGGAGGTAAACATCTTATGGGCCTCACTAAGACTTAAACTTTGTGGTTACCTTGAAAAGAGAAAAGATGAAAATACATTTTACCTTTTTTGGGGGGAGGGGATGAGATCAGTCAGTCAATCAACAAGCATTTTAAAAGCACCTACTATGTGTCAGGCATTGGGGATACAATTATGAAAGTAAAAATACCTTTCTCAAGAAGCTCACAATCTACTTTCTATTTTCTGACCCTGTCTGGGATTACAGCAGAAGAATAGGAATACTACAACCATGCTTGGCATCCCACATAGCTCTTCACATACTTGATATAAATCAATCTCTAAGCCTTCTCTTAGGCTAAACATCCCTACTTCTTTCAACAGATTCTCACGTGGCAGTGGTTTATAGTCCCCTAAGAATCATGGCTGCTCTACTTTGGGTACATTGGAACTTATTAACGTCCTATCTCAAATGTGTTGTACTAAAATGAACACAATACTCCAAATGTGGTCTGACCAAGGAGATAGACTATCATGTCACTCAGTTTGGGCACTATATGGATCATTTAATGTACCTCAGTACTGAGTCAGGGCTTTTATTTGGTTGGCTTTGCTTCTCTGTTGTACTGTTGATTCAGGTTCAAGTTGTAATACAGTACATACATAGCCACAGGAATGGCTGTCTAGCCATATCTCTCCTGCGTACTTGATGCCATGAACCTAAGAAAAGGGCTTTGCAATTCAATCTTATTGGATCTGGCGCATCATGTTAGCTTACTGAAAACTTTTTGGACATCAGGTACTTTAGCTAATCCTTCCAAGTTTGAGTCATCTGCAGATTTGATGAACATGGCGTTTCTTCCCTTATTCATGTCACCAAAAATAATATTAAGCAGCAAATGGAAAAGGATGCATCCTGGGGAAAAGTACTGGAGACCTTCTCCCAAGTTGACATTGACCCCTTAATCACTACTCTATGGGTTTTGTCATTCATCCTGTATTGTCATCTAACCTATTTATTTTTTATCTTGTCCATACTGATAGCAGGAAATACTTTTTCAAATGCTTTGATGAAAACCTAGTATACTGTAGTGATATGCAAATTAACTGGATCAAAGTAAAATAATTAAGTTTATTGTCATACAATAAATTTTATAACTTTTTACATTTGAAAAAAAAACTTTTTACTTTTATTTTCAGTTTCATATTCTCTCTCTCTTTCCTTCCACCCCTCCCCCATCCATTGAGAAGGCAAGAGATATGATACCTACTATACATATACAGTCATGCAAAATATTTCCACAATGTTATGCATGTTCTGGGGGTGGGGTGGGGGAAGTAAAACAAAGAAAGGAAAAAATATACTTCAAATTTGCACTACCTGGAGATGAACAATATTTTATATTTATATCATGAGTCCTTTGGAGTTGTGGTGGCTCATTGTATTGATCAGAGTTACCAAGTTACAGTTGATTTTCCTTACAATATTGCTGTTACTATGTAGATTGCTCTCCTAGTTCTACTCACTTCACTTTGCATCAGTTCATATAAGACTTCCCAGGTTTTTCTGAAATTATGCCCTCCATTATTTCTCACAGCACAGTAGGATTAATGTGGCCCCATTTCTTAACCTTTTTTTTTTTGTGATATGAGGCATGGTACAAGCTCATGTAGCATTCCATCTCCATTTGAGAATTATTATAATTCAAGACCATTTCTTCGTGTCAAGATACAAGTATATTTATCAGAATTGATAATTTCCTCCATGTGGTCAAAACTTCCTGGCTTGCTGTAAGTAATAAATCCCTATAGAATTTTTGGGTGGATGCTTTATGGTCAGATGAAAATACTCAGATTTTACAGACTAATCTGTACTTCTTCTGACATTGATTTTGGTATATTCTTGAATGAAAAAATGAATTTTATCATTAAAATTACCTTGTCCCAGTCTTAAGTACTTCTGTCTTTATATTTTATTTTTTGTCTGACACGTAATTTTTTCATGATATGTTAGCTTTTAAAAAAAAACAAAACAAAATATGTCTTCTCACTGTTCAGCTTCCTTTATACCACATTATAGAGGAATCAGTAATAATTCCTTCAGCTGTCACATCCCTCTGAATATTTTTGCTTCGAATAGCTTTGCTTCTTTTCTGAGAAGTGACATGGCTGTTTCACGGCATTTGTTTTTCAGCGCTTGGTATTGTTATTTGCTTTGAACTTGGTGCCACTGATTCTAGTTCATCATAGGCTTGAATGAGCCTTAAAACATTTGATTTTAATCACACCAATAGCCACTACAATATCTCTAACAGGCACTGAAGTATGCTCTTTAAGAGTTACAACTTATACATGTTTTTTGTAGTAATATCCATTCTTTAAAACTACATAATTAATAACACAACAAAAGAGAGCAATGAAGGTGGAGAAACCAGCTAGTTGACTCAGTGGAATCTGGAAGATCTGAGTTTAAATCCAACCTTAGACACTTACTAGCCATGTGTCCTAGCCCAAGTCACTTAACCTTTGTCTGCCCTAGTTTCCTCATCTATAAAATGGGGGTATTAATAAGCATCTACTTCCCAGAGTTGTTGTGAGAACCAAATAAAATAATATTTGTGAAGTGCTTAGCTCAGTGGCTGGTACATATCAAGTGCTATATAAATGTTGGCTATTATTTTTATTATTAATTCAGTTTTACCCAGTTAAAGGTAAATGTTTTAATTCAGTAAAAGTACATATGAATAATCATTGCTATTACAAAATGAAATCATATTAAAATTATTGTTTGTTCCAAATAATTTGCCCTCTGCCTTTGATTTCCCAGTGTAGTCAGTAATTGTCAAAAAAGAAATGAAGCCTTTTAAAAAATATTTAATTTACTTTGAAGTCAAATACTAAAACTTAAATACACAGTAAGAAAAGAAAAAGAAACATTATAAACTCAAATACTAAAAGTTAAATACAAAATAAGAAAAGAAAAAAAAAGCATTGTCATGTGCACAGAAGAATGTAAGAGAAGATTCAAAATATACAACAATAAATTTCCATGTCAAGAAAACCTGTATAATAAATACTACACATTGTGTTCTGAGCTGTCCATCTTTTCTTTGCTTCCTTGTAAGTTTTCTTTTGTTCTCTGCTGTGCACATTTTACTTTATTCTTTTTACCTCCTTTTTCCCCCCCATCCTCCAAAAAGGCTACAATTAAGTGCAGATAGATAAACATACATATACATATAGAAACATGGATGCACATATACATATGTACACACACATCCACAAACATATATACACATATACATATATACATACATTTACATATATACATGTACTTAGATATCTATAATCATACTCATATATATGTACATGTACATCAATATGCATCTATGTAAGACTGTGATATATTTGTTTGTTCTCTGTTTTTCTGAGGTGGATTATGTATTCCTTCATATGTCTGAGTCTTTTCATATTTTTCTAAGTCCACCAACTCATCGTTTCCTATACAACAGCAATATTCCAACCTTATACTGTCTGATTATTTTAAATAATCTAAAATAATATTAATATTGTTTACATATTGTCTAGTTTCCCCTTTTTTCTTCTTTATGAAACCATTTTTTGTGAAAGTTAAGCTGCCTCTTAGTGATCATCATTTTCCTCTCTAAATGCTCATGAATCATTCTTTTAATACTATATTTCAGAATTTTATCAAGAATTGAAGTCAGGATTTCTTCTTCTTTTTCTTTTTCTTCTTCTCCTTCTTCTTTTTCTTCTTCTTCTTCTCCTTCTCCTCCTCTTCGTCGTCCTTCTCATCCTCCTCCTTCTCCTTCTGCTCCTTCTCTTCCTCCTTGTTTTCCTCTTCCTTCTTCCTTTCCTTATTTCCTTCTTTCCTTCCTTCCTTCCTGAAGCATTTTTCCATCTCATTTTGGGCAAACATATTGTTACAATTTCATTACTGAGACTATTCTAATTCTCTTATGCTAGTTCCTCTGATAGAATTTTAGGGCCAATGAGCCTACTATCCTTTATCTGATGTCTTTAAAATCCAATCTCCCCAAATTTAGGGTATCAGACTTGACTAGCTTCGCTTTTTGTCTCTATCATAAATTTTAAGAGGTAGTGGATCTTTGCCATTATTACTTCAGCAGTCACTTCCTTCTTAGTGTACACAACCTGGTAAAAATAGCATTTTTTTTTTTTTGCTTCCACCATTTGAAGAAATCAGTTATCATTAAGGCAGGTCAAGAATTTTTCAGCTGTTCAGCTTTTCCTAGAGAAAGAGATCCAAAAAATAACTGGTAGTTAAAAGTCCACCATCTCAACTAAAGCATGCTATTATGCCAAGCTTGCAACCTTTTTTTTTAAAATAAGTTTTGTAGTTTCTTTTTCTATT